CTTCCTAAAATAAATTATATGACAGAGGTTCACAGTTTTGTAGATGATCTTTTAAATTTATTTCTATATTGAAATGTTTGTCGACTGAATAAAAAAAGAAAATTTCAATCAAAAAAAGGAAGACTCAGTAGTTTTTCAAGCTAATATCTATGTCTAATAAGTACATAATCCACTTAAATTTGTTGGCAATTACTTTAAATATTATTCTCTTGCCAATCTCATGAGTTCCCCAAAACCAAGAATAAAATTTTGGATACATGATAACAAATGCTAACACAAATGAGGGCATTTGTTGTACTATACTACATAATACTAAAAAATTTCAAACCCATCTATTTAGGGAAGAGAACTAGAGAAACTAATAACTTTATCTGAGTAACTTAACACTCCAGAAATAAATGCTTAGAGAGGTACAGAAACCATTACCACTTGCATATTCATTTCCTGTAAGTGAAACCGCAAAACATGAAAGTACTGTATGTATGTTGTTTTTTATTGGACCAGACCTATCATTTCATTAATATAAGTTACTCTTTTCAAAGCAAATCGAAACTAGCCTTAAAAGTATAGTCTTACAGAGTTGCCTGGGGCACTGAGAAGATAAGTTGACTTAAAAGAAGTCACAGTAACCAGTATGTGTCAGAGGCAGGGCTTAAACCCAAACCTTTGAGACTCCAATGCTTGCACCTCTAGTTTCACCTTAACACTGCTTCTTTTTAAAAAATAATATACATTTGCCTTGTTTAAAACTAAACTATAAAATACTATTTCATAACAAACCATAGCGGGGGCAAGGGAGAAATTCTTTCACAAACTCTCAAACCTCTCTGTCCCCCAATTTGGATAAGTTTGTGTTAAGATAAATTATCTAAATTTATCTGTTTATCTTAAACAGCTAATTAGTTGGGATCCACCTTTAGACCTCTCCCTCAAGAGTATGAATTACAAATTTTTTAATAAGAGAAAGTTGTTTGTGGATTAGCCACATTGCCTCTCATCTACCTTATAGCCTAATGCTACAACATGCACAATGACACTTTCGGCAGAGGCTTCAGCACATTCTGTTTCTGATAAAAGAGAACATAACACCCACCCTCAATAGTAGTTGCCAGCTGCTTAGTTTTCTTATTTGATTAAGAAAAATTTAAAGAGAAATCCAGTCACTTTTTTTGCTTTATTCAATCTACCGTCCATCAGAGAGAAACCTAGTGAATATTGATTTAAGTTTAGAAGTAACATATTATCAGCTATTTAGTTTAAAACTCTTCAGTACGGTTATTAAAAAGTTCTCCAAAAAAACATTAGAAATCATAAATTTCTAGAATCATGACCTCCTTATTTATCTTTTTATCTCCCTCAAAATCTAGCACAATGACTTGCAAATGGCAGGCACTTAAAAATGTTCAATGAACTTAAAACACTGAACTTCCCCTGTGCACAAAGGCCCAGGAATGAGAAAGCTAATGGACACTCTTGCCCTGTATGCTGCCTAGAGAAGGGAGGAGAAACGTCAGAACAATTTACCATCAACATCTGATTATCTGTAGGAGGAATCTGGTTCTTTTCGTCTATGATGTGTGAATTGATCCTATGATCTTTCTGGGACTTCCTTATCTGTAAAATGAAAGTTCTGTATTACAACACCTCTAGGGTTCTTTCTTGTCCTAAATCCTATTTAACTCTAAGAAATCTTTGTCCTCAACTCTCTCTGATCTATATGCTATTTTTGTTCCTCTCTCTTAAAGATACTGATGGAAAGTGCCACACACAATACAGTGTAATGCCCTCTAGCTTAATACTAGGACTTTATGTGGTGGTATAGTGGAAAAGGTGCTAGGCCCACAGTAAAAAGACCTAAGGTTCAAATTCCAGCTACTTACTACCTGTGTGACTGTGCAAGGGACTTACCTGCTTAGATACTGCTTTTTCATTTATAAAAAAGGAAGATAGTAACTTGCAGTGCCCACTTCATAAGGCGGTTGTGACTAAAGTGCTTAAACTGCTACATAAACATGAATAGTTACCATATAGGATCTTAGAGACCATTTGGTTTAGCCTCTTATTTTACATATGTGGAAACTGAGGTCTAGAGAGGTTAAGTTACTTGCTCAAAGTCACAGAGATAGTAAGGGACAAAGAAAGGTTTTGAATTTGGCTTTTAAAGCTCTTCATAGCTTGGCTTCTTCCTACCCTTCCAGTCTAAAACTTGCTTCCCCTATCCGATCCAATGATCATCAGTCTCCGTGATGCTCCTGATACAGGAAACTCCCTCTCTCACACTCTGAGCATGGCTGTCCCCCATGCTTAGTACGTCCCTCCTCATCTCGGCTTTCTGGCTTCCTTCAAGTCTCAGCTAAATTCCCTCTTTCTGCAAAAAAGCCTTTCCCAGTCCTCTTTAGTCTTTGTGCCTTCCCTCTGAGATTAGCTCCAATTTAATCTGTATATATTGTTTATATGTAATTGTCTACACATTGTCTTCCCCATTAGACTCTAGCTCAGGAGTGGGGAACCTGCAGCTTTCTAGGTCCTTGGGTTTGGCCTTTTGACTGAATCCAAACTTCACAGAACAAATCCCCTTAATAAAAGGATTTGTTCCATAAAACTTGGACTTGTGGACTGGAGGCCAAACGTTCCCCACCCCTCCTCTAGCTCCTTGAAACAGGGGCTGTTTTTCACCCTTCTTTGTACTCCAAGCACTCCAAACAGCCTGGCGCTTAGGAGGCATTCAAATGCCTGACTTGACCCTAGATCCTCAGACTCTCAATCCAGTCCTTTTTACAATTAAATTCAATTCAACAAATATTTATTAATGCCTGCAATAGCCTGCTGGTGGGTCTGACTGCCACAAGTCTCTCCCCACTCCAATTTACCCTCTATTTAGCCACTAAAGTCGTTTTCCTAAAACACAGATCTGATCCTGTCACCCTGCTAGTCAGTAACTCCAGTGGCTTCCTATCGCCTCCACGAGCAAATACAAAATGCTTGGTTTGGTATCCACATACCTTTGAAACCTAACCCCCCTCCTACCTTTCGAGTCTTCTTACACCTTACTTCCCTTCGTGAACTTCCATGAACAAGATACTCCTGGCATTCTCACTGGCTATCACTCATGGGAGTGGAATGGTTTTCTTCCTACGATCCAATTACTGACCCTCCTGGCTTCCTTTAAGTTGTCAATCAAAATCCCACCCTGTACAAGAAGCCTTCTCTAACCCCTTTTAATTCGTGTTTTCCCTCTTTTAATAATTCCCTATTTATCACATCCATGGCTTGCTTTGTATATATTTGCTTGCATGTTACCTCTTCCATTAGACTACAAGCTCCCTGACGGCCGTCTTTGGCTTCTTTTTGTATCCCCATTGCTTAGCACAGCACATAAATGTTTCCTGACTTGCTGTGTGCTGGGCACAGCTACTGAGTCACAGAGAAAAGCAAACTCCACCAGTGACAATATTTACCTTGTATCAAAAGTTGACAAGTTAGCAAGCCATTTATGAAGTGTCTACTATGTGTCAGGCACAGTGCTACCGATTCACAGGGCAGAAAAGCTGATCAGTAACAACATCTATCTTGTATCAAAGACCAGACGGCAAGCCACTTATGAAGCACCCTACCATGTGCCAGGTGTTGAATAAAACAGAAGTTGACCAGGGACAGTATTTATCTTGTATCAGTCAAGCCAATAAGCCATTTGTGAAGCTCCTATGATGTGCCAGACACTGTGCTAACGATTCACTGAAAAGAAAAGTGAAGACAATATTTATCTTGCATCCAAGACGGCAAGCCACTTATGAAGTGCCTGCCACAAGCCAGGCACCGTGCAGAGAGCTGGATCATGCTCACTTTGGGTCATTCAGGAGTCAAATACCATGACTTCGGGTATGTACACTTTAACAATGACAGGGTTACACCTTCTACGCCCATGACACCTTTTTCTTTTTTTCAGTATCTTACATCAGCTGCGCACACGCCTCTCCCCGGGGGACCTCTGACACGCGGAGGGCTTGGACCCAGGGGCCCGAAGGGGCCCAGCCGGGCCTCTCCCGGCCCCGGGGAACAGAAAAGGCAAGGCCCGGGAAGAGGATTAAGGCGCTGACTGGTCTTCCCTGCCCCCCCCCCCGCCGGTGAAGGGCTGCCCCCGCCCACGGGGGGCCAGCCAGGTTTCCAACCTGCCGTCCGCCCCCTCTCCCTTCCCCCGCAGCCGCTGGGGCCGGTACTTACTCTCGTCTCTCTCTCCGCCTCCGCCACCGCCTCCGGGTCGGGCTGTGGGCGGGTTCTGGCGGCGGGGCCCCGGCTGCCCCCGGAGGGCCGGGCTCTACTCGTCTCTACGGGGCCGCAGCGCCGGGCGAGGTCCCCTCAGCAGGTGACGGCAGAGCCGGGCAGAGACAGCAGCGAGGGGAGGCGGCCGGATCCACCCCCCATCGCGGAGCGTGGGGCGGACTGCTCACACTACCTCCCGCGCCAGAGGAGCAGGGGAGGGGGGCGGGACGAGAGGTGCGAGAGCGCCTCAAACCTCGCGAGACTTCTTTACCCGTGCCCCTTTCCCCTTTTGGGTCGCGGCGCGGAGATTTGACCGGTGACACTCTTGGACTACTCCCGCGAGAGGCACAGAACGTCTCACCCCTCCTTTTTCTTTTCTCCACTTCCTCCCTCCCTCTCGCTCTTCTCGGACTCTCGGTGAGTCTCGCGAGCGTTGCCAGTGGAACTAAAGCAGGGCGGAGAGAGAACAGGCGAGGGGGGGGCCCCTCTGCGCTCTGGGGGCTGGATGCGTTTTAGCCGGTGCTGCGGTTCGTGCTGCAAGGCTAGCAGGGGTGCCCCGACGGCCCAGACCATCCACTCCAAGGGGTGACTAGGGGGTCTCAGTCGGGGAGAAAGCCCGTAGAGGCCGAGACTTTTTTTTTCCCTCCCAGTCTCCGCCCCCTTTCGGTATTTCGTGGCCTGGGTTTCCTGACCACTGAGGGGGAGGGGAGCTCGACAGGAGCCGGAGGGGCGGGGCTAAGGGGAGCGACCGGGGGGGGGGCGGCGGGAATTAGGGGAACTGCGCACGCGCGCCGCGCGAATGTGTTTGTGTTTTTGCGTGCGTGTCTGTGTATGTATGAAAGTGGAAAGGGACCGGGGTGCAAGAAGATGAATACGATGCTCTCCTCTCGGTGGTAGCAGACACTCTTGGCCGTCTGCTGACCCTCAGCAGCCCATTCCAGAGAGGCTGTGGCTCCTAGCCTTTGGCTCGTTTCCACAGCAGGACCAGGCATAAAAGTAAGCCAATCTCCTGAAGTTTGTATCCTATCCACCCACTTCGCGGTTTCCCCCTTTTCTGCTTTTCCTGGAGATTTTATATCTGGTTCATTCTGTAAAAAAGCCTCCTTGCAGATATGGTCTGTATGAAACTGAAATACTCGAGAGCAAGAAATGCAAATAGCTTCTGGAAACAAATTCTATCAAGTAGAAAGGTTCTTTTTGAAGAACACTTCAGCTTCCTTGCCATATGCCTTTCTGAGGTAGTCTGTTTAATCAGTTTCAAATATACATAGGGGATTTTTTGTTTGGTTGGTTTTTTAGTGAGGAAGAAATTGCCCGTGATCAAAAAATCAAAACAAAACAGATAACCTGTTTTTATAGTAGGCTCTAGCAAATCATATTTTTAAGATTTAGGTTATATCTGTGTAGATTTGGCTTTGGAAAGTCATCAGATAGTTAACTTCTAGTTTTTTAGAAGTTGATTAATATGATTTGGTCTCTTACAAACCTCCTTTTATCACCTGTCTCATTAGCTGCTTTTTGTTCATTTTGTTGGTCATCAGAAGTTGCAAAAAAAAAAGGTCAAACTAGCTTAATTTTTACATTTATTCATGATTTCTTAGGAGTAAAGCCTGAAAGTATTGACTTTAAGGTAGTTTTTTTTTATTATCATAGGTAGATAATATCAGTATAGTGCTTTAAATTTATAAAAACGTTTTTCTCATGACCACCCTGAAGGGTATGGACTTCAGTTCACATCCTTACTGGACCCCAGACAAGTAATTTACCTTCTCTGAATTTCAGATTCTCCAGCTGTAAAATAGTGATAATTAAATTTGCACTGTCTATCTCTTACCTCCACTGAATAGGAAGATTCAAAGTTAGAAAAATCTCCAAGTCCCACCACTGAATCATTTGGCTGTGTGACCCTGAGCAAGTCACTTCTCAGTCCCCCAGGCAAATCTGGAAGACTTTAAGTTTCTGAGCAAGGGCCAATCAGCTTTGATAAGAGTTCATCATTGGATAATTCTTAAACTCATGAAATAATAGGTCAGGTTAAAAAAAAAGAACAACCACCCTTGCAGAGTTCTTGTTTAAAAAAAAAAAGCGAATTGTAAACCCTTGTAAAAATGCTAGAGAAATGCATAAGATAGTACAAGCATTGTACCCATTTTACAGAAAAGAAATTGGTGTACAAAGAGGCTAAGTGATTTGCACAGGGTTACAGAGCCATAACTCAATTCTTTTGACTGTTAGACCAGTGCACTTTCCATTGCAAACCATGGAAGGGTTGAATATGGATAGCTGACTATATAAAATTGTTAACATTGAATATATTTTGAGGACACAATGACCTAGGGGTTAAAATATGCACCAAAATGTTACGTCCAGTGACAAATTCAGTGAAAAAGCTAATATAAAGATTACTTTTTCCAACTGTAATAGAGTAAAAGTCCAGCATAACGTGGCTTATACCAAAAATTGAGAAACATTTTGATTATAGTTGAGACTTTGTCAAATTATGCTTCCAACTTGTAACATGAATATTATATTCCTTACCAAGTCTTCATTATGGAGAAATTAGATATTAATCAAGATTTGTTTACTTTTTCATCTAATTTGTCTGTTTGCTTTTCATCTAATATGTCTATTTCCTTGCAGGTAAAAAAAAATGAAAATTTTTTCTGAGTCTCATAAAACGGTATTTGTTGTGGATCATTGTCCATACATGGCAGAATCATGCCGACAACATGTAGAATTTGACATGTTGGTGAAAAATAGGACCCAAGGAATCATACCACTGGCACCCATATCTAAATCATTGTGGACTTGCTCAGTAGAATCCTCCATGGAATACTGTAGGATTATGTATGATATATTTCCTTTCAAAAAGCTGGTAAGTATTCGATGTCTCAGACGTGCTGGAAATCATGAATTTGAGATATACTTTATTTGCATATGCATATTTTAATTATATTGGTATTGCTTTAGACTGAAAAGGTCATGGTACTTCTTGTATTCCATTTAGTGTAAGAATTATCTCTTTGAGATTAATATATGATGACTGCATGATTAAACCAGGAGAATTTGGCAGTATTAGGAAAATTACATTCCAAAGAGTATCATAACTTCAGTGAGTTATGATCTTGTCATTTCAAATACTTAAGTATTATTGAATGCCTACTTCATACTAGGCACTGTGTTAGATGCCAGAGAATCGAAGAAAAAAGTGAAACCGGGTTTGCACTCAAGTAGCTTATATTCCATTGGAGAGAAATTACATATGCACATAGATGTACACAAAACATATAGAGCCCAGGCAACCAGAGGATTCAGAAAAGGTCTTCTGTAGGAGGTAACAGCTGAGCTGTACTTGGAAAGAACCTAAAGCCTCCAGGAAATGGATTTGAGGAGGGAGATTATTCCAGGCCTAGGACACCCTGGGCAAAGACCTGGTCAAGAGTGATTCCATGGCCTGTGGGGGACACAGTAAGTAGACTAGTTTGTTCTCCCTTGACTAATGTAAGTCATGATATTTAGTAGACTTTTTTTTTGTGACTTTGCTGTGGTAGAAAAAAATTCATCATCTGATGAATAACCTTCTGGGGATGAACTTCTCTGTGCTTAGTCTGTGAACAGTCTCTTGCTGGGACTTACCTTGAAGTTTTCCTAGCTTGTAGGGAGCTGCTAGAACTTACACAGTGTAGTGAAAACCGCAGGATTCTCTTTACACTGCTAAGGGGCATCATAGTGGGCCTTTAGTGAAAATACTTTTAAAATTAGGATAATCTATTAGTTTAAAGGCGTATGGAGGATTGATAATAGTTATTTTCTGTTAACATTTTCCTCATGATTCAGGATTATATCTTCAAGAATGTTAGCTTGATTATACAAAAGTGGATTTTTATTTATTTGTTTATTTTTTGCTTTGTGTAGTATTGGAGAAGACAGAAGGAACCTCTCTCTCTTTAGTTATTTAGCTGGGTTTCATATATTTTTAAGTAAGGTGGATATTGTGCAGTCTAATGTGAGGGTCAGGTGTGCATATCTGGCTGTATTCTGAAGTCAGATACAAAGATATCTGTGACTTTTTTTTTTTAGTGGAGGGAAGGGAATGAACTTGTGATTTCATCAGTATAGGAAACTATTGTTTGAGAAAACTTTCTATACCAATATGGATTGGCCATCAGTCATGGGATAGACCTCAAGAAGGGGTATCAGAGTCATAAGAAACATTGTTTAAAGTCAAGGAAGTCCGTCTAAGTGTCTTGTAAGTGCCCAGAAAATAGAGTACCTACCTAAGACAAGTGATGCTAGTGCCAGAGAAACCTTAAGAGAGGGAGCAGCGGTTAGTTTAAGAATGGTTCCCAAGACCAATTAAAGGAAAAGAGCAGAGACTAGAGCACACAGTAATGGGAAACTAGACACAGATACTAGCAAAATTGAACTGGTCTTGAATTATGAAGTTATATTTCCTAACTTGTTTCCTAACCATTCTCTTTCTTTCCAAGTCTGTCTGTCTGTGTGTGTGTCACACACACACACATTTCTTTTTATTTTTTGTTTTATGGTCTTGACTTGTGATTTAATTTATGTGGAAATTTACCTTACCAGTGTAGATTAGCGATTTTATCTTTAGAGAGTTTGACTGGGCTACTGAGAGAGTCTGGTCACAGAGCTTGTATGTGTCAAAGGCCTGACTTGAAAACAGGAAAAAGTTTAGAAGCTTGGAAATGCATAAAATACATCTGTAGTGTTGTATAATATCAAACCAAATTTTACAATGATGTACTGTAAGAACTCCATAAAAGAAAAAGAAAAAAAAATCAGGCTTCTTCTCTGGTGTGAAGGGAAAAGAAAAAGAAAAAAAAAAATCAGACTTCTTCTCTGGTGTGAAGGGAGGGCCAAAAAATTTTACAAGGATTTTCCAGATTGAGGGGGCACTGCTCCACGATGTAGAAAGGATAACTGTAAATCTATATCTTTCCTTTATATTTAGATTGAAGGAAATTTTTTATGTAACTACCATGTAATTGTTTGGTAACTGTGAGTCAGACTAGTCCTTGAACAAATGTTTTTTGTAATTTGAGTGTAATTGTTAAATACAACTTTGTAACTTTTCAGGTGAATTTCATTGTTAGTGACTCTGGACCTCATGTTTTAAATTCTTGGACTCAAGAAGATCAGAATTTGCAGGAGGTATGTTTAGTTTCTGAAATGTGATGATTTGAGAAGAAAACAAAATATTCAGATAATATAATGGTGTTTGAAATGAAAAACTAGAATTCCGAAATCTTGTAAACCTTGTAGATTAAGTTGTATTTCCCAAATATTTAATCTTTGATTTGTTTGGGAAAACACCAGTTTTTAATATTTTGACTCCTATTGTATTTTCACTGTGAATATTTTTTGCAAGTGAAACAGATAAGAATCAAATACTTGCAACACATAATTGAAGTCATTCGTGTTGAAGTTTTGCCACTAATGAAAACTTCAGAAAAAAAATTATTCCATCTCCATTGGTTTTTTTTTAATTGCAGAGAGCAGCAATCAAGGAATATGTGTTGTGATAATTGTCATGTTTGAAACATTGTTTAATTTTGTAGTTACAAGTAATAGGATTTCAATATTGAGTTACTTAGGCTAATGATCATAAATATGTAAGCCATAACAGACAGTTTGTACTTTTCCATTACCCTGACTCATTCTGATACTGTGAGTAACTTTGACTCTTGATTGGATGAGGCTTTCAGCCTGCTGATCCCCTGCACCCACCCCACATCCACCACCACCCTACTACCACTGCACTCTCCAGTATATACTTCCACTGAGGTACTGCCACAATACACATCTCCCACACTTGAGTGACCTTGGCACTGTGTGGCCAAGTTTCTGTATTGCCATATTATATATATGTGTGTCGTTTTCCATTCTTTCCCTGTTTGCTATACTGCATAATAATAAAGTTCATGCTTGCCCTAATTTTCCAGGTACCCATTTTCTGTAAACTATGAACTCATATCCTTGCTCTAATGGAAGCTGTAAGGCCAAGTAGAACCTGTGTATCACAGGGATGGGATTGACCTCATGATTTTTTTTTTAGCACAGGGAGATCTCTGGATAAGGAAACTCCCTCCAGCAGCCAAGGCAATATCTTCTCTTATTGACCTATCTTTGTACTTGTTGTTTGTGGGCAGCTAGGTGGCACAGTGGATAGAACACCAGGCCTGGAGTCAGGAGGACCTGAGTTCAAGATCAGGCTCAAATACTTACTAGCTGTGTGACCCTGGGCAAGTTGCTTGGCCCTGTTTGCCTCAGTTTCCTCATCTGTGAAATGAGCTGGACAAGGAAATAACGAACAACTCCAGTATGCCAAGAAAACATCAAATAGGGTCACAAAGAGTCAGAAATGAATGAACAAGTATTTGTTATCTCCCCCCGGTAGAATGTCTGGGTTTTTTGAGAATATGGTTTAGATTTTATCTTTGCATGCCCACCACCTAGCAGAGTGCCCGATGCAAAGTAGGCATTTCATACATGGTTATTGAATAAATGAATGAATGAATGACTGCTGTGAGGTTCATATAAAAGGACTGGTGTTCTTTCTCCTTCCAGTAGAGAAGTGGGGATTATGGGTGTGGAATGTTTAATTTTCCATAACTGTTACAAGGACAGATTCATGGGGGGAGGGGGAGAGGGAATGGTAAGAAATAACCCTGATATGAAAACAAAAGGCATAAATAAAACATTTTAAAAAGGGAAAAAAAACTTGGATATCATAGGGTCATGGAATTTAGAGCTGTAAGGAATTTTAACGATAATGGTTAATATATGCAAACTAAGCTTTTGTAAAGTGCTTTCTTTATGTTAAGCCCATTTGTTAAAAAGTATTGATATTATCTCTATAGGTGAGGTGACTGAGGCTCACAGACCTCGAACCTTAAACCCTCTTAAGTCTAGATCTTTTCATTATATTGTTTCTTTTGGATTTCAAAATAATTGAAATGTTTGTGAGAAATCCCCCTCCCCCCAGCAACAGATGTATCTGACACCTTTTTTGGATGCAGTTGTCTTTGAAGGTATACTAAGGCTGTGCTTTTATGTGAGTGCATTCATAATACAGATAAAATAGCATTCAGACTTTATTGCATGTAGACAATACTTAACTTTATAAATTTATTGTCCATGGAAGTGGTATTCTATTTCAGGTTTGCCTCTTTCTGAGAGAAATAAGGGAGCTTATACTCCTTTATCATATGAATTCACCATGGGTGTGTGTTGAGGGGGGAGGTATAAAAGAGACATAGCAGCTTCTGTCCTCATCACTTGGTCAACTTAAACTGCTCTCTCAGAGGTTTCCGCCAGTCTCTTTAATTACTAGATCTAGTGACTTTTTTAGTACTTATCTTTCTGGATAATTTGGCACTCTCTGGATCATTTGGCACTGTTGATTATTTCCCTCTCCTAGACACTGTTCCCTTGTTTTAGGGGCATTGCTGTCTTTTGCTCAGTCTCTTTTCTTAGATCATTATCTGTGATCTTCCATTAGTAATAGGTCACTCTCATAGATCTTTTCTGAGCCCTTTTTTATACCTTGTCAGTGATCTCATCACTTCTCATAGTCCAGTTGTGCCCAGCTTTTTACTGGGCATCTCCAGCTGTGTGTTCCTTAGACAACCTAGACTTATGTCCAATACAACATGCATGTATTAATCTTCCCCTAAAACCTACTTTTTAGTGTCCCTTTTTTCTTTTGAGGGTTTTACTGTCCTTCCAACTGAGTGGTCATCTTCAATTCCTCACTTTCATTCATCATGCTCAATGACTTGACAAGTCTTGTCAATTCTATTTCTACAACATCTCATATCCGTCCCCTTTTTCCATTCATGTGACACCCCCCCGCCCCCCGCTCTTGTTCCTCCTAGTGATGTAGGTGCACATGAGCTGCTGATTATGAAATCACACCTATGTCAGTAACTGGTTACTTTCTACCTATTGAGATATATAGTTAGTTTCGTTATTTACAAAGTCAGGTGTTTGCCAAGTCTAGTGACTTTCTTGACCTTCCTATCAAAAATGTGTGTGATACTTCTGGTGTGAGTTTCTGGATCACAGGATCACAGATTTAGAGTTGGAAAAGATAATAGAGGCCATTTAGCCCAAACTATTCATTTTGCAGCTGAGGAAATTTGTAACTAGCCTATAATCGCAAATGAGATTTGTTCAACCCAGGACCTATGTAACTCCAGATTCAGTGCTCTTTTCACTGTATAATGCTGTTGAAAGGCTTTTGAACTCTTAATTTCTTAATCTTGAATCCTAATTTTTATTGCTCGTCCTTCTGCGCCAAGGTATATGCCAACTTGGTTTGAAGTATTCAATTTAATTCAACAAATTTGGGAGGCAGCATCGTACGTTGGGAAGAGTACTAGATTTGGAGTCAGGTTTGGATTCTGGCTTTGTGGTTTACTATGTGTGTGATCTTGGGCAAATCACTTAAAGTCACGTCTGAGGCTCTTTTTGTTCAATCTCGTAATCTGTGAAGAATGAGGGTATACTTATGTTAAAGAGATGATTCAGTAGTCTGTATTTTTCTGGTTTAGCCAAAACAATTTTTTATTAGTTGTATGAAAGAAGAACTGGATCATGGACATTCAAACACATCATAACTATATTCCCCATCATAGTTTACTATAGCTAAACAATTTATAATCTTTGAAAAAAAATCAAATGAGGATGGTATAAAATTAGTTGGGAAAGGGAAGTACAAAGTCAGTAGTTTGATAAGGGCATATAATTCTGGGAAAGACTCAGTGGCCAAGTGAGAGATATGGAATATTCTGAGGAAGGTAAAATATTAATGGATAATTTTGATTGTGGCATGTTGAGTGAGCACTTTCCGTTGTATTACCTAGAGACAATTGCAATTTTTAGCCTACTCATAATCTGTTGTATGATGTCAGGTTCTCTAGAAGCACAACCAGATAAGATAGACCTAAAGTTCTGATTCCACACTTGTCACCAGTTTTTTTTCCCTTTTGTCTTGATTAGTTAATGGCTGCATTAGCTGCTGTTGGACCACCTAATCCTCGTGCAGATCCAGAATGCTGCAGTATCTTGCATGGCCTAGTTGCAGCGGTGGAAACCCTCTGCAAAATTACTGAATATCAACATGAAGCTCGCACTATGCTCATGGAGAATGCAGAACGTGTTGGAAATAGAGGACGAATAATCTGTATTACTAATGCAAAAAGGTGTGAAATTTCCAAAACATATAATAATGTGCTTATTTGCATTTTTGTTAAAATGCTACAGAAATAACTTAAAAATTAAGTTGAAAATGGTCCTTTTGTTACAGAGCTTACATCTTCTATGCCAAAATAGCCATTTTTTTAAAGGAGATTTTTGAAGTAGAAATTGATTTTTAAAATACAAATATTGTCCAATCTATTTCTTTGGAATTGGCTACATTTTCTAACATTAAGCTGTTTATGGTGGTATTTTGTTGAAATATTCTAAGATCTATCATTAAAAGTTTTGTGTCTGTAATTTTATATATATGTGTGTGATTTAGATTTTTCTAAAAACTGAATTTCTTGAAGTGTGGTTTCTTATGCTCATCTTTGTTTTTTTAATCCATAGTGATAGTCACGTAAGAATGCTTGAGGACTGTGTTCAAGAAACCATTCATGAGCATAACAAACTTGCTGCTAATTCAGATCAGTGAGTATAAACTGCAAAGAGCATGGGTATATGTTTAACAGAACCCTGGGAAATAACAATTATGTATTTTAAAGGCAACAGTTAGAAACAACAAAGTCCCTCAGCTAATTTAACATATTTCTCATATAACTTGTTGGCCCTCTGCCTTTTGTTTTCCCCAATATTTTCATAGCCATCAGTGCTTGTTTTGTAGCTGTTCCCTTCTTAAAGAGGGGAGGGAAGCTAAAAGGTCAAATCTGCAAATATCTTCTCTGTTATAGTTTTCTTGGCCTTAGAGTACTATTTCTTTTGGATTCTAAGAGACCAGCAAATTGCCAGCAATGCTACTGAGTTTTATGCACTTGGAGTCCAAATGTCTATATTTTTAAGAGTTACTGTGGGCGTAAAGCAAGAGAAGTCTTGTCTAGTTATGGCCAGTGAATCGTTAGGAAAAGGTTTATTAATGAAAACTTTTTCCTCTGTCTTTTAGTATAGCAATATCTATTTTTTTCTATAAAAGCATCTGTAGTAAACATCTAGGAAATTATCTTATAGGTTTATCCTCTGATTTGGCTTCTAACATACAATAAATCATTCTGTACATGTTAAATAATTATTAATTGACTATAATTGTTGAACTTGTATGGACATGAAAATTTCTTAAATACTTAGTCTTTGCAATAACCGTAATATCTACTCTGGTACTTTTTTTATACCTTGTAAGTTCCATGGAAATATACATACGAAATGGGAGACATTTAGCTTTTCTTTACATGAAGAAAATATATGCTGTATTCTGATATTCTAAGTAAAACATTTATCTCTTAAGTCTCATGCAGATCCAAAAGTGTGAATTAGTTTTGATCCATACCTACCCAGTTGGTGAAGATAGTCTTGTGTCAGATCGTCCTAAAAAGGAGGTAAGGTCTTAAGTAAGTTACCAAAGGCAAGGTTATGGGTTGTAAATAATACACGATGAGTATGAAGTTTGCATTAAACATTTACTATATTTCTGAAACCATTTACAATGGAAAACTTACTCCTAAGAAATCCTCCCTGAAGGAAAAACTATTTTAAACCAGTTTTCCTGTTACATTTTGTTTTTTTTATATTGTTTGTTTATATTAATCCATATGCTCACATGATATCATTTTGGCATAATTGTAACTAAAATTGTGGAAGTAGAATTCTATTGATGAAGGCAGATCACAAATAATTTTTAAAACAGACCACATCCTTTTAATCATAGGATTGGCTGAAAAGTTCAAAGAACATAAAAGTGCCACTGTGCTTAAGTGCCACCTTAAAGGCTGTCTACCAATAAAGTCTCTCCTCTGGATAGCGTAAAGAGCCTAAAAGATTCTTTAAGTGATGTGACAATAAAGATAGCTTTGACCCTGTGTTGATACTAAGCAAGGCATAAAACAACATGTATTTTTATTTTATTTTTTTGATAAGGCATTTGTGGGTTAAGTGACTTGCCCAGTGTCACACAGCTAGTAAGTGATTGTGTGTCTGAGGCTGGATTTGAACTCAGGTCCTCCTGACTCCAGGGCTGGTGCTCTATCTACTGCGCCACCTACCTCCCCCAACAACATGTACTTTTGCCAAAAATTTTTGGCAACTGTCATCAAAGAAGTATATAAACAAAAAATGATTGGTAAACCAGTGAATTGGGTACTTTGTGGTGTCAAGAGAAATGGAGGAAGCCCCAGTGGACCCTCTAGGCCACACTTAATGGGGGCTCGTGGACTAGTGATTTGCAGGATGTGCAGATGTATGGGTGGTAATCTGCGTTGTTGGAAGGAGTGCACACATTGATGAGATTACAGCTCTGCTTAAGTGGATCAGTGATCTAATATGTGAAAGAGACCTATAATTAATGTTATCATGATAGTGAAGAAAAGGAATATTGTAGATTTAAATGATACCTACTCAGCATCTTATTTTTAAAAAGAATTTTTTTATACATCTCTGACCTAGAGATCTTCATGCGTATGAAATATGTTACTGTCTGCAATTGACAGAAATAAGTAATAATTTAGTAGTTTATAATTTAGTATTTATGTAATATTTTAAGGTTTGCAAAGCACTTTATATAATCTCATTTGATCCTCACAACAGTCCTATAAAGGAGGTGTTATAATTATCCCCTATTTACAGATGAGGAAACTGAGGCTCCCAGAGGTGAACTGATTTGCCCAGGGTCACAAAGGTAGTAAGTGTCTGAGGCAGGATTCAAATGCAGGTCTTCCTAGTCTAACTCTCTATCTACTGTACTACCTTGTTCATTATTTTTCACAAGGAAAATTAAACAAAGCTAATACGTTAAACCAGTATGGTATCTTATCTTTACATTTATTGAATAAATTTTTTTTTGTTCTCAGTTTCTCTTTCTAATTGGGAGGTACATTAATTTTGTGAGAGAGTGTTTGTAGGTTTTAGCAGTGTGGTTCTTTATTCCATTGGTGCAGATTGTAGCACTCTGTACCTGAGTGGATGGGTTTAATAAGTTGTTGTGGACAACACATTTTGTTTGTTTGGTGTTTTTAAATGTCTTATTGATGATTTTTTGTTTTTGCATCACAGCAATTTCTAGGTGAAGCAACTTCCCCTTCTTCTCCCAGCATTTGTCCATCTCTTGTAACAAAAAAAAACATTTAAGCAAAAATAACAGTTACTGTGACTATATTTGACATTGACCGTAGCCCTCTGTACCTTTAGTCCCTGGCTTCTCTTCTCTCCTGGACCAAGAAAATGTCATTGTAGTTATTACTCATCATTCAGCTTCTTGTCAGTGTTCTTTACATTTACATTATTGCCTAGTAACATTATGTATGTTGTTCTTGTTCTGCTTAACTTTACCATGCATCAGTGCATATGTTCAGGTTTATCTGAATCCCTCATTTTTTATTTATTGCCCAATATTCTGTCATGGAGTTAAGCTCCCTGAGAGTAAGGACACATGTATGTAATTGCATCGCACAGAGACATTTAAAAAATTCTTGTTGATCTCTGTAACCCTGTTTTCAGTTATGGAGTGGCCATTTTGTTTCCAGTTCTTTGTTACTACAAAAATGTTGCTATAAATATTTTGTTATTTATGATATTTTCTTTCTATATTTGATCTTTTAAATGTATGTTTAATAGTGTGGACTCTAGATCAAAGGATATGAAAAGGTTAGTCACTTCTCTGGAATGATTCCAGATTGTTTTGCACAAAAGATTGCACTACTTCCCAAATCCACCAACCAGTATTTTACTGTACCTGTCTTTCCACAACCCTTCCAATACTGTTTCTGTTTATCCTCTTTGCAAGTTTGGTGGCTGTAAGATGAAGTCTCAGAATTGTTTTAAGTTGTTTTCCTTTTATTAGTGATTTGAAACATTTGTTTTAAACTATCAGACCATTCCCAGTAGGAGGATGTGAACAACGAACGCTTCATTCTGTAGGCCAAAAAAAAAAAGTCTTCCTAAAAGACCATTTTGTAATATCTGCTTTGTTTTCCATTTATATTCTTTTTCTTGAATTCCATTTGTACTTGAAACCAAGAAAACTTAGGAACAAAATAAGTGGTAATGTTAATTAATTAGATGGGTCTTAATTTATTAAGTTCTATAAAACAATATTAGAAAATAGCATTTAAAAAAATAAAGTATTTAGTGACAGATTCTAATTCACTAATACTCTCTAATATTTATCATTTGTAGTTGTCTCCAGTTTTAACCAGTGAAGTGCATAGTGTTCGAGCAGGGCGGCACCTTGCTACTAAATTGAACATTTTAGTACAGCAACATTTTGATTTGGCTTCTACCACTATTACCAATATACCAATGAAGGTAAGATAAAAATTTTTCTCATCTTGGAGGGACTGTATTCCTATTTTAAAAAATTGTTATGAAGTTTACTGTTTATTTTAATTGGATCTTTGCATTTTTTTTCTCTCCATATCATATTTTCTTTTTTTGCTAGCCCACATTCACTGTATGTGACCAGGTCAGTAACTATTGATATATGCCTTGAAGGATCACAGAACAAAATGCCATATTGTTATTTCACCAATTAAGATTAGACTATATAAATTTTTTCTGTTCATATTATTTTGTACAAAATCTAATCTGTTCATGTCATATTATTGCTGTGTCTGTGATTCTTTTCCTGATAGCTGTGTTACTAGATTTTTCTCATTTTGTGCGTTCTAGTGGAGCTTTTCTTTCCTCTGTAATTTTCTTAACCATTTAACATAAAGATGTTAATAACTAATAGATACTGATCACAAAATAATAAGCCATGATTTTCAGTTGGCTTATTGCATCCTAATGTTAGGAAGAATTGAATTTTTGTACATCTATTACTCAGTTCAACAAACATTTATTAAGCAAGATGCTAGGAATACCCAGATAAAATTAAAATGATCTCTGCCCCCAATTCTATTCCCATGAAGGGCTGGAGGTGTATTTTCTTAGGACTCTTGAGGCTCTTTGTATCCATTATACTATATATGAATGCCAATTATTCCATCATTAAATTGTGATTTAATTATCTAGTTAGCATTTTTGCTGTCACACTGTGAATAGTAATATGAATGAAAAAGTGACAGGAGTCTTTTTAGCTCTTTTTCTTTAAATAATATTGAGAAGGAAAAATGAGTCTCTTTGAATTACATGGGCTAGACCCTCAATGGAAAATGTGTGCTTCCTCAGTATAATCTTTTGTATATAGCAGTTAGCAAATATAGTGGAACTGATTTGCTTTAATATCTTAAATATGATTACAGTGTACATCATAACAAAAAAATAATTTTAGGTTGGCATATAGTTTGCTTGTGTCTTATTGATAGGATTGGTGTGCTGTTGATGTGACACTTTTCTACTTTGGATCTTTTAGAATACAGTGTGCTGGAGTTTGTATTCACTATTTTATGAACACAAGTTCTTAAGATCATGATGATTTCTGTATTTGCTAATTGATGTATTATGGTGCTTGCTCATCTGTTGCAGCTATTTAAAGATGCTATCTTTAGCCAAAAGTTTTATTTTCAATTTTGAGTGAATGGTCAGTTCGCTTGTTTCAGTTGTATTTGACTCTTCTTGACCCCATTTGGGGTTTTATTGGTGGAATGGTCACTATGGTAGGATATTTGAGAATTTGAAAAACATGGGCTAGGAACAAGAATTAGGTTAGAGTTCTAAGACTGCATCTTACTAGATATGTGACTTAAGTGTCTTATGTGTCATCTTATGGGGAAAAAAAAGGTATTTATACCTGGTCTGCCTAGTTCAGAGGGTTGTTTATAAGTATCAAATTGGATAATATTTTTAGGAGTATTTTGTAAACTGTAGAAATATAAGGTGTTATGATGATGGTAAAACTAACTTGTTAGTTTTGTGTACAACCTTTTAACATTGAGCAGTGCCCAAGAAGCAATACTAGTTAAGAGTGATTGGAAGCAAAAGTAATACTCTTAGCTAGTGGTGTCAAACTCAAATAGAAAAGGGAGCCATTGAATCCTATATAAGGATCCTTGCAGGTGCATATTAACTTAGAAAACCACATAGTAACATTAATGTTTTTTTTTTAATTTATTTTGTTAATTACTTCCCAATTACATTTTAATCTAGTTCTATTACACTTTGGAATATTGTAGGCTGGATGTGGCCTTGACCCCTTTGCTTCAGTACTTCCAGAGGCAGGAGCTTCTTTTAGGTCTGATACGATAACCATGAGATTATTTTTCCTAATACTCTTGAGAATTATTTTTCTTGATTAGATTCTACATTGGGGGAAAAATTCTTGCATCTTTAAATAAGTCACTGAGCAAACTACTGCAGAGTTAGAACTTACCCCTTTCTAATCTATTTGACCGTTTATCACCTTCAAGCAAAAGCCAAAATTATTAATTATTTAATAGTATGAGGAAACTGATTTTTAAATGTCTCCAATTAAAGGAAGAACAACATGCAAATACATCTGCCAATTATGATGTAGAATTACTTCATCATAAAGAAGCCCATGTAGATTTCTTAAAAAGTGGTAAGTAAAACATAGTGAATTGGTTTTGATAGACTATAATAATAAAAACATTTAAAATTGTAACTTTTGTTAAAACCAGTTGTACATTTCTTAGTCTTGGAAGCTAACCTATAAAATTGTTCATTCAGCAAACTCTTAAGGACTTATAGTGTGCAAGTACTATTGGTTCCCAGCAATTTCCAGTTTTCTTAGAACCTTGAAGTGCTCTGTGTATTTTTTTAAATGGGGTTTTAAAATCTCTTTGTGATTTCCCCATTGTCATTTGATTTCCAAGTCCATTAACAAAAGTCTTGTGTGGACTAATTTTGGGGGTAATGTAGGCTATTTCACTTTGGAATAACAATGCATAGTTTGGTTTTAATTAATAACAGATAACATTCATATAGCACCTTAAAGTTTGCAAAGTTATTGTATGCATTATCCCATTTGAACCTCACAATAGCCCTATGAAACAAGTACTATATTACTATTACTGTTATTATTATTATCACCTTTTTCTTTGTTTCTTTTTTTTTTAAATACCAATGAGGTAACAGTCTTAGAGAATTTAAGTTACTTGTCCACAGTTGTACAGTTAGGTCAGTAATAGTGATAGTTTGAATATTTGAATGAATTCTTAAATATTTAAATGTCTAGAACTGAAATGCATTTTTGAGTTGAGCAGTTGCTCAAATTCTTAATTTTAGAGGTGAGCAAACTGTTATAGAAGTGAATTTGGAGTTTAAAAAAAATCTGATTTAAATTTTGAGCAATTGCCGCTTTTTATCCACTCAGCTTCCTAATGTAAGTTGCAGGAATTCTCTTTGCTATAGAAAATGCTTGCCTTACATGGGCACTAAGAAGGCTGGTATCTGGGGTTAGAATAGCTACTCATACTGCTTAGACTCCAGTTTCTTTGTAAACCACCAGGAAGTGCTTTGAACCAGAATGGCTCTAGCTTTCCTGTAGCACATGCACAGATTTGAATAGTTTGCCAGGGACCACTTCTAGTCACAGCAGATTGTATCCTAAGTCTCTTGTCTGTCGTGCTGTGCTGACAGGTAAGTACCGGTGCTATGTAAATGCTAGCTATTATCATCACTGTTGTTATCATCTTTTTTTTTTTTTGACAAGGCAATTGGGGTTAAGCGACTTGCCCAGGGTCACACAGCTAGTAAGTGTCATGTGTCTGTTCTGAGACCAGATTTGAATTCAGCTCCTCCTGACTCAAGAGCCAGTGCTCTATCCACTGCGCCACCTAGCTGTCCCCCAATAATTGTCCCATAATTCACATATGCGTAAGTACAACTTTGACCTGGAATATTGGTTGGAGTTCCTTTGGTGCAGATATCCATTCTCTCCCTCACTTTTTTTTTTTTTGGTGAGGCAGTTGGGGCTTAGTGACTTGGCCAGAATCACACACCTGGCAAGTGTTGTATCTGAGGCCAGATTTGAACTTGAGTCCTCCTGACTCCAGGGCCGGTGCTGTATTCACTGTACCACCTAGCTACCCCATCATTATTTCTTTTTTTTTTTTTTGCATGATATATGAATTTTATTAAAGAGTACCCTAGCTCCCCTGAATATTTATGTTTATTTTTTTTAATTTTATTAATTTATTTTGATTTATTAATAATTACTTCCATATCCTTTTGAGTTTAAAATTTTTCTCCCTTTTCCTCCCCACTGCCCTCCCCAGGATGGTGCACTATCTTGTATAGGCTATACATTTACCTTCCTATTAAACATATTTTCACATTAGTGGTGTTGTAAGTAAAAATTAAAATCCGTAGGAGGAACCATCAGAAAGAGGAAACAAAACTCAAGAGAAGAGAAAAAAAAATAGCAATTCAACTTTCATAGTTCTTTCTTTGGAGTGAGTGATGAGTGAGTTTGGATCCATGATAGTATTAACTGTTGGGAGTCCCTATGAGGAAATTCCTTCTGGCAGTGCAGATCTGCACACTCTCTGCAGTTTATGATTTGCTTAATTGCCTGGGAATCCCAAGAGGTTAAGTCATTTGTCCAGGGCCACATAGCTATTATGTGTCAGAGATAGGACTCGGACCCAGGTCATCGTGATTCTGAGGTTTGGCTTGATATCAGTTCCATCATGCCACTGATGGTGTCTGTCCCAGACCCGAAAGGTAGCCTGGGCCAAAGCACAGAAGTAGTGGTAAAATGTCATATAAGGATGTTAGAGGTTGGAGTTTACCAGGGTAGGGAGGATCAAGAATCAGACTGCCTTTGTAATTCCTCGATTGCCTTTGGGAAAGTGTCTGGCCACTTGGATGCCTTCTGTCTTTAGTGTGTCTGTGCGTAGGACAATCTGAGCTCAGTGAGGAACCTCTGCTAGTGCTCCAGAAATTGCCCAGTCCCTCATTGCCTCCTGCATAGACTTGCAACAGCATCTGAAGCCTCTCTGCTCTCTAATCCATGGGTTCTTAGCCTGGAGTCTGGCCCCAAAGGTTCTGTAGATAGATTTCAAGGGGTCTGTGAACTTTGATAACTGTGTTTCAGAATAATTGGTTTCTTTTGTAATGTGTGGATTTTATTTCATGCACGTAAGAACATTCTGAGAAGAAGTCCCTAGGCTTCTTGGGCTGCCCACACAGGACTTCATAACCCACTAGAAGTGAAAAGTCCCCTGCTCTCATGCAGCTTCCATTCATCGGTCTTTCTGCTTCCCTGTTCAAGAAGGCTTCATGGCTGCCTCTTGCCTCTCAGCGAAAATATGCTCCTTTGTTTGCTAATGCTTCAAAATCCAGCCCTTCTCTTTAGACTGATGCTCTGCATCTTCTCATCAGCCTGGGTTACTTGCTCTTCCCTCTACATGATAGTCCATCTTGTGCCTCTGTGCTTTTGCCCCCATGCCTGGTATGAATACTCTCCTTCCATAATACTCTCCTTCCCTTCTAATGGCTTTGGTAAGCCCTAGCTCACTTCAGGGCTCAGCTTCAGTGCTGCTGCCATCTTATAAGAGTCTTTTCCTGATTTTCTAGTTGTTAGTGTTCCGCCCCCCCCCAGTGACTTGGTATCTCTTTTGTGTGGACTTGGTATGCCCTATGTAGCGAAGGCACTTGCTTTTAATATTTCTCTAGTATGATGCATTGAATGTGGTAGGCCCTTAGAAAATATTTGTTGAATTAAACCTGGTAACTTACATAGAAAACTGAAATGTGTACTTTCATCTACATTTTTTTTTTGTTGTTGTTGATACGTTAAAGGTGATCTCCATTTGGGTGGCAGTAGTAGAGAAGGCTCATTTAAAGAAACAGTAACACTGAAATGGTGCACACCAAGGACAAATAATGTTGGTAAGTACTTAAAATAATTAAGCAAAATAAGATATTAGAAATAAATTATAAGATACTTATGATATTTTAAAAAATGATAAATAGGTTTTTTTCCCCGCTAATTCTTTTTATTTCATCTTTAGTCATTATTGTAAAGGTCATGGGGGAGGTAACTTCTCCCTCTTTAAATTGAAGTGTTGCTTTATGCTTATTCACATTAGTGTTTACTTTGTGTTTCAGAATTACATTATTGCACAGGAGCATATAGAATTTCACCTGTAGATGTGAACAGCAGACCTTCCTCCTGCCTTACTAATTTTCTTCTGAATGGTAACTTTTTCCTTTTTTCCATTGGTATAATTTCATGTGTAATTTTATAAATGAGAATGCTTTGAAGTAGGTGTGCTAGTTCACCACAGTTACTTGCTAACAGATTCTAAAATCTGATCTAGGTCTGGAAAATTGTTTCCCTCTATATCCTTTTAACCTTTTTCGCACTTATTTCTTAGAACTTAAACATTAAAGAACTCACCTAAGTGATTTTTCAGAGATTCAGAAAATGATTTGTATTTCTGATCTTCCTCAAGTATTATGTTTCATTAATGAACATTATGACTAAAATATTTTCTGATTTTTAGTTGTTCCTCAGATTTCAAATTAATATTTTGAAGGGGAAAATAAATTAGAATTACTTTTTTGATTCAAAATAGCTTTTTCCTAAACTATAAAATTGTTATGAACTTAGTCAACTTTATAGCACAAAGCCTTTTTTTTTTTTGGTCCTGATCTGCAGTTTGATCAGGGTAGGGAATTCTTGACCTAGAAACTCATTCTACCAATGCATGTTTGTAATTTTTAGTCTTATGTGTAGCCCTGGGGACACTGAGATGTTAAATCACTTGCTGGTAGTCTTGCAGTTGGTATGTGGAAGGACATGAACCTAGATATTGATGACTTCAAGGCAGTGGACTTAGTGGACTTCTGTCTACTAAGTCGCCCTGCCTCTCGTGCATTATATCGAAGTAACTAAGAGTAACAATGTAGCCTTGTAGTAAATTTAATTTTACTTTTGTGTTATGCATTGGGAGGATAGAATTTAGATTTCAGTAAAGGTCTTAGAATTAAATATTGAATATTTCTAGGAATGCAGCTGCTCAGAGCTATATTCCACTGCAGAAACCTCCAAAAGAATTTCCTTTTAGAAATGATAATGGTACTTTGAACAGGATGGAAACATAAACTTCATTCAGAAAAGCCTTAGTAGCTGCTAGAACTCAGAACTTTTAGGTGCTTGTGGTAACAGTGAAGCATCGTGAAATGAAAGGGAGCTTCCCTTTTTGTTGCTGCTCTTCTAGAGGCTGGCCAAAAGTGCTGTCACTTTGCTTTTTTGGTGTCCAAATGACTTATGAAACCAACAAGAACAATAAGATGTTTTACCAGACACTAAACTTCGATAGCTTCCTTTATATAAATCTGAAAAATTAGAGTAACCAGTTAACTGAGGCTAGAAGACAAACCTGGAAGGGAAAAGACCTGCTGGATAAAACCTGTGGTTGGGTGAATGAAATGAATCACCCAGGAATATGTTTAAAGAGGAAAAAATCACCAATTTGAGTTAATTTGCTGATCTTGTTCTTGACAGGTCGTTCTGTTCTACTGGAACAGCCACGAAAATCAGGTTCCAAAGTCATTAGTCATATGCTTAGTAGCCATGGAGGAGAGATTTTTTTGCACGTCTTGAGCAGTTCTCGATCCATTCTAGAAGATCCTCCTTCAATTAGTGAAGGGTGTGGTGGGAGAGTTACAGATTACCGGATTACAGTAAGACTCTAATGTCTATGAGTACTACTTCCATGTTTTGAATTTGCCAGGCTGTTAAAGGGACTTTTCTGAGTAAGATGGCTTGATTTTGTTTGTTTGATTCTGCTTCTGCTTAGTTATTTTTGTGAAGTAAATAGTTTTGCCCATAAGATTGATTTAAATATTTAATGATAACTGTATATTCGTCATATAATCACTTTAACTTTAGTAGGAAACAAAAAACTCTGTCAGTAGTCTTAGCCTAGCATTTTATATTGCTTCATTTTCTGTCTTTAAAGAAATTGAACTTCTCAGAGGTTTTAGCCTTCAAAACATGTAAATGCAGCCCTATTTTTTCCATGTTTTAAAGATTTCCTTACTCCAAACATAGCAACATAGCTTTAGTTTTGGCTCAGATCTCTTTATATGTTTGAGTATATGAGTGTATATGTATATATGCATATAAACACATATAAGTATATATGTATGTGCATATACACAGACATTTTTCAAGATATTTATCTAGATTTATCAGAAATGTTTCTGGACACACACCACACAAAACAAACAAACGATAGTGTCTTGTGTTTCTTCATTGCATGTCATAGAACATAAACTTTAAGAGAGGTTATTACATTTAATCCATACTGTGTAAATTAGAAAATATAGTTTCTAATTTTATCTTGTTTGGTTATCATTAGGATTTTGGTGAATTTATGAGGGAAAACAGATTAACTCCTTTTCTAGACCCCAGATATAAAATCGATGGAAGTGTTGAGGTCCCTTTGGAACGAGCAAAAGATCAGTTAGAAAAACATACTCGTTATTGGCCTATGATTATTTCACAAACCACCATCTTCAACATGCAAGCAGTAAGTAATTTTAAATTGTTGCACAGTGTCAGTTTTCTGTTTTGGCTACACAGTTTTGCCAAGCATGATAAATAATTAACTTATTATGTAACAATTGTATAACTTATTTTGATCAATATAAGGGATGCCAGCTGTGGAATATATACAGTAGAAGGTAAGCCTGTTGTAGAAGAAATACCAGTATGGGAGTCAGGAAGTTGGGTTCTGGTCCTGGCTGGTCATGCATTGATTGTATAACTTCAGGGTAGTCATCTCTGGGCCTCAGTTTCCTTGTATACAAAATAAAAGGATTAAATTAAACCAGCAGTTCTGTAATAGCTCCTTTCAGGGAATCTATCATATCACAACTATTTTCTTAATTATGCTGACATTCTCATTTCTAATATGGTCAATAATGATTGATAAAACCTGCATAAATAAAACCTCCTTAGAGGGTTCTCAGTAATTTTTAAGCATGTAAAGGGTTTCTGAAACAAAAAAGTTTGAGAACTTTTAGATTAGAAAATTTCTAACTTTCCATTTCTATGAAATAAGTAATTCTACAGTTACTCACATATAATTTTAGAGTTAGAAAGGACCTTACCCTGTAGTCTTCCTTCTCATTTTACAACTAAGGAAACCGATTCCCAAAGAGGTTGTGATATAGATAGTGATACATAAATGTATCACTATCTATATCACAACCTCTTTGGGAATCTCCAGTTCATTGTTTGTATTCAAGAATCTCATCTAAACAATGTTTTAGTGAAGGGAGCATGGCTATATTCCCCCCCCCCCATTAAATAGAGAATATGACTTTTTAATGAGCTATTTGTAATTTTGCTTGAAGGTTGGGTCTTGACTCTTAAAATATTTAAAATCATACAAAATATTTCACTTTGATTGTTCAAGACATTTGAGTTTTTTTTTAATTAATAGGTAGTTCCATTAGCCAGCGTTATTGTCAAAGAATCCTTAACAGATGAAGATGTGTTAAACTGTCAGAAAACAATTTACAACTTAGTTGATATGGAGAGAAAAAATGATCCTCTGCCTATTTCCACAGTTGGTACAAGAGGAAAAGGCCCCAAAAGGTAGTTGGTTATTTTTTTTTAATTCTTTTCAAATAATTTAAATTGTAAGAGGTTAACATTTGTACTACAGTAATTTTTTCTGGTTATCAAATAATGTAATTGGTTGCATAATAAGTGTCACATAGGAGAAAATGAATGCCATGTTTATCATTTCCTTTCTTTTTTTCCTCAGTGTTGGTTAACTATTTTATAGCATTTTAGCTCTGGTGTGTTCTATTTTATATGAAAAAAGTTGTTTTGTATTTCTTTACTGCAGAGATGAGCAGTATCGTATTATGTGGAATGAATTGGAAACCCTTGTCAGAGCTCATATTAACAACTCTGAGAAACATCAGCGAGTCTTAGAATGTCTGATGGCATGTCGGAGCAAACCCCCAGAAGAAGAAGAACGGAAGAAACGAGGAAGGAAGAGAGAAGATAAAGAAGACAAATCAGAAAAGGTGGCAAAAGATTATGAGCAAGAGAAGTCCTGGCAAGATTCAGAGAGGTGACTTTTAAAATTTAATAAATGAACCGTAGAGTATATTGGCATGTGACACGTTCTGCCTACCACACATTTGAATATTCGAACATTTTACTTATTAGTAGTTTATTTCATCTAGTTTTATCATTGTGTAATATAGCATTCTCTCAGCCATACTGTCTTTAACCGTCATAATCATATTTAAAGCTGGAAGGGACCTTAGAGACATCTAGTACAAGCCCTTTGTTTTACAAATAAGTAACAAGAGGTGCAGAGAATTTCAGTGACATTCACAAAATCGTACCTGCAGGAAGTGGGAGGTGCCGTGCCGGGATTCAGTTGATTGGTGAAAACCCATATCTTCTCACTCCAAATCCAGTCCTTTCCCCCCATACTACAGTAACTTGCTCAGTGTCATACATATCTTTTCCCTAATTATATATAGAGAGAGATTGCTTTATCAGTTAGGTTTATTGTCATTTTAAATTGGGGGAAAAGTAGGGATCAGAATTTATATTTTTTAGAAGTTGAAGTTATGTAAGATAGCACCATTCTTGCTATTAATTGCACAGTCCCCTTAATAGTCTGCTCAATTCTTGTACTGTTTAGTGAAATAAAGATTAAATTTTGATAAATTGAGCAAAAAAGTAATCCATAATTATAAATATGTTAACTGCTCAACTGGCTATTTGTTTGCATGTGCATAATTTTCCTGCCCCACCAGAGATGAGGCTCTGAGCCATGTGGAAGTAATAACAGTGTGGTTGAGGACTTTTAATTTAGGGTGTTTTGTTTTGATGTGTTTTGTGTTTTTAATTGAAGGGGCTCCTTTCTTCCTACTTGAGGGAACTGAAATCAGTAGCATGTAAAAATAGGTTTATCTTCTCAACAAAGAAAATTTCTTCTCTTCATATCCTTTGTATCCTAGAAATTCTTATGTGTCCCAGAAATGCTTTTCCCTCCTAACTCTGCCTCAGGAGAGGAGGGGTCTTGGTTGCTAACTTTCAGAACCTAAGAGATTGTAGAGGGAAAAGTCTGAATAATAGTTTTGCCTTTTTTCCTAAATTGGTAGAAGCAGTTTTAAAGTTATTCTTAAAATTGAGTTAGTTTCTGTCTGTAAATTTACTTTTTTAGATTTTCTTAAGTTTTTCAAGCCTCTTAAAACAATTTTTGATTTAGTTACATTTTGTTTTTATTTTTCTCAATTATGAAGTTAAAAACAAAAATAAAACTTAAACATTTCAGCCTTCAAAGGACAAAGAGGATCGTATATGAAACTGAATTGTTTCCTTCTGAGCTTTATTTGCTTTTATTATTTTTAAATTGTTTTGTTGGTATTCTTTTCCTTTTTTTCTGTAATCACTGTTACTACTTAGTAACTTCCTTTCCCCCACCTCTAATCCCTCTCTTATCACAAATTACTGTAGTCAGACCAAACAGATCAGCACTTTGGCCAGGTCTCCTGTGCCATCACCTCTCTGCCAAACGGTAGGAAGCACACTTTCTCATGTGTCCTGGTGGTGATCCCAGTTCTGAAGTTTTTCAAAAATTTTTCCTTTATGTTGTACTGCTCTGTGTGAGTTCTTAAGTAGTATTTTGAAAGTTTCATAACAACATTTAATCCTACTCATATAATTATTATTTTGCCCAAGTTGAGATTAAGGGTTTTTACTTCCTATCACTTTATGCATTTTCTATGTGTATGGTTGGAGGTATAAAGATTTGGGGAAGGAGGGGAGGAGGAGCATGTCTTTTTGTTTTAAAGTTATCCTATGTAGAAAAATGTCGATTTCCAAAGACTGGCTGATGTAAGAATCACGTTAAAAAGTGTGCCTTAAAATTCACTGTTTGAATTTCCTAAAGATTAAAAGGAATTTTAGAACGTGGAAAAGAAGAATTAGCTGAAGCAGAGGTTATTAAAGATTCTCCTGATTCTCCAGAACCTCCAAACAAGAAGCCTCTTGTTGAAATGGATGAAACTCCACCTGTGGAAAAGTCCAAAGGTGAGAAGAGCTGGGACACCCTGTTGTGAGAGGTTCTTAGAATGCAGTCATCTCAGACAGCATCTAAATGGATATTTGTTGTTTGAGGCAACAAAAAAACCTCCCTGCTGCACCTTCGATTTTGAAGTCTGTAGTCATTGCCTGGAAAAATGTTGGAATGAGAATTATAGTGATACACCATTAATTTCCTTTGAGAACAAAGTATTGTAATGAAGTCCAATTTAAAGTAAAAACAAAACCAAATATTTATGAATTATGCAAGGTAGGACTGTGTGCATTTCAGCCATATATGACAAAAATACCTCGTACCTATTCCCTTTTTGTTGAAGGTGAACAAGACTGGCTGTCTACAGAATCAAGACATTTTTCTATTAGTTTTCTTTGTTCCCATTTCTCTCATTCTATATTTTTCTCCTCCCCAAATGTCAGTCCTTCTGTTTACTTCAATCATTCCCCTTACTTGTTGACCACCTCATAACTCCTAGTTAAAAAACAGAACAAAATATTTGCATTGATTATTTTAGTGTGAATGAGTTTTAAGCAATTTATCGTTTACTCATTGCATTTTAAAATCTTTACTTGCATTTTAAACCTTTTAATTCTAATTATGGAATAAGCTGTCTGTCCCTGTTAAAGGAATTATAGGCATCACAAAGCAGGTAAGAAGGTAAGTTTTTGAGAAATGCCTCTAACTTGAAAGTAACTGGTGTTTTGTTTTTCTGTTTGTTTTGTTTTTGGTAGGTCTTGTTATAAAGGAGAGGGGCAGGAAAATGAATTAAGCATTTGTCCAGTCTCTATAGTTCTAAATCTGGATGCCATGATTCTCCATAGTCAAAAGAGCTACCATTTTCATAGCGCTTTGAGATCTGCAGGGTATTTTCACTTGTATCACCTCATTGGAGTCTCATCACAGCTCTATTAGTGCTCCTTTTTTTCCCCTTTTTTCTTTTTACAAAGAAGGAAATAAAGGCACTGTGGGGGCCAAGTTTCCAATTGGCACATAACTAGTAAGTTTTAGAAGGGAATTCAGCCTACAATCTTCCCAACTCCCCAGTCTGTCTAGTTTTCTACTGAGCCAGGATGCTCCTTACCAGAGGCTAGCCTTGGATTTAGGAGCAGAAGCATGGAGGCCAGCTGACCACACTGTCATTGCCAGGGGCCTTGTTTTTTTCTCTTTTTTTTAATTTGAAGAGTTCAGAGAAGCCTGTGTTGCTTAGGCTTCACTTCTGAAACCTTGAGTCTGCCCTGCCTTAAAAGAGGCCTGTGGCCATGCACCCTGAACACCTCTGATGCTTATTAGTTGTGTAGACTTGAGCTAAGCACCTAAGTTTCCTGGCCACAGTTTTGTATGTGAGAGTCCCCTGAAGTCCCTTCCAGCTCTACATCTGTGGTCCAGTGAGCCTTTCTTCATCTTCCTTTCTTGTCTCCTCCTTGGTCTTCTTTCTCATCTTCTACATTCTAAAATTTCCAGATTCGTACTTTGTTTTCTATCACAATCAACACTAGAATACAGTTTAAAACAAATATAAATATAGAGCTTGTGTGATAAACTGAAAAACATCCCTATTCCTCCTGTTTTCAGTCAGCGAACAAACGTTTAGTGCTAGAAATAAAAAAGGCGAAAAACAGAGACACAGTCCCTTCCCCTATTGTCTTTCTCTCTCTTAGTGAAGTATGGCATTAATATAGATCTTCTTAATTAATTGTGGTATTTTCTGGCATATGGATTTGTAAATAAATATATATTATAAATTAACATCTCAGGTAAGTTATTGGGAGGAAGTGAAATTATATTTTGAATTGAATACTTTAAGGTCAGCGTGTATTTGACATCATTTAGTGGCTTTTTTGTAGATTATTTGACAATATCAACATATTTAGCCATTACTAGTTTTGTGCCACTATTTCTTAAGGGCCCAAAGTACCACAGTTGAGGGAGAAGAGGATTGTAGATAGCGTACTTCTTCAAGGTGAATAAACTATACCCTGGAAGTAGAGATAAAGAAAGCTTCCCATATGTTAAAACATATTCTGGTGCTTTAGAAGGGAAGAAAATTATTCATGATAACCTGGACGTCTACTTTGCTGTCAATATAGCAACTTTCCTTTCTTTTTAGGCTCTTAGCAAAATACTCTGAGGGTAATTCTGTGGGGAACAAAAACTTTAGATAGAGTTTAACTTCTTGTAATAATAATAATTCACCTTTATATCAACTTTTAGGATAATAAAGCATTTTCCTTACATATCTGTGAAGAATAGTTTTTGCAGATGAAGAAATTGTGTTTGAGAGAGGTCAAGTGAAGCTTAGGTAGCTACAAAATTGAAACAAGTGTGATTTCAAATCTACTAGTCATCTTGGACACTACTTGGCCATATTTTTTTTTCTTTACGTTTTACTTCAGTGTCCTCTTTTGAATCCATATAGTTGCATTTTTCAGTTGCTTTATTTTTCTCTTCACTCAAATCGTGAAGGTATTTATCAGTAGAGACAAAGATATACTTTTGTATTCTCAAACTTCAGTCCTACATAGAGAAATTAAGAAATTGCTTGAAAATAGTGAAAATACTTTTTCCTAACCATTTTTATTAAATTTGATGTCTTAGAAGAGAGAAATTATTTTGAATGAGGGGAAGATAACTTGGTGGGTAGGAAATAGTTTATATGTTTCTTTTCCTTTTTTTCTTTTCAGAAAAACCGTTTTATTTAATCAGTTGTCGTAAAGCATTCTTTACTAAATGGCTATAATATAAGGATAATTTATTCTTTTCTTGGAATTTTATGAAATAGGATAACATTGCCACATGCTTGACAAGTCTAAAATTGAGTCAGTTATTGAAATAATTTCCATACCCTTTTTTTTAATTAGGGCCAATGTCCTTGCTGTCTTTGTGGAGTAATAGAATTAATACTGCCAACTCCAGGAAACACCAGGAATTTGTTGGTCGTTTGAATTCTGTCAACAATAGAGCTGAATTATATCAACATCTTAAAGAGGAAAACGGGTTTGTATTATTGAATACAGTGTCTTGCAGAATGAGCACTGTCACAAAAGCTTCCTTTCCCTTCAGAAATCCAACTAAGCAAACATTTCAAATGCCAGAGTGGTCTATAATTTTAACCTTGAGGCAGTAGGGAGCCACTGAAACTTCCTAAGAGGACTGCGAAAGAGTCAGACCTGTTCTTTAGGAATATCAAGTTATCAGCTTATGTGAAGGTTGGATTAGAAAGTGGAGAGGCTTGACATTAGGACACCATTTAGCAAGCTGTTTCAGTAGTAGTCGTGGGAAAAGGTGGTGAGCCTTGTTTGAATTATTCTGAATTTGAGGTACCATTGGGATATCAGAAGTGGAAATGTCTTAGCAGGCAGGTGGAGATGTAAGACCGGCGCTCAGGAGAGAAAAGAGAGCTGGATAAATAGATTTGGAAGTAACTTGCAGAGAAGTGATAGTTGAATCCATGGGAGCTGATGAGATCAACAGAGACGATGTTGAAAGCAGGGGAAAGAAACCAGTTTAGAGCCATTAGCTACACCTGCATGTGCGGGGTAAGACACGAGTGATGATACTGCAGAGGAAACTAAGGAGGACAGGGGGATAAGAACCAGCAGAGAGCAGCGACAGGAATCCCAGGGAGGAGGAATTACCAGTGTGAAACACTGCCAAGAGGTCAGTAATGATTAATCAATTTAGTCTTTTGTTAATATGTTAAAGATTATTAAAGCTGGCAGATGTAGAATTTTTTTACATTTCCCGTCAGAGGATAGCTTTTAAAAATGCTGAGAAGAATTCTTTGTGAAATTATAGAAGAGGGTCACTAATATGCCATAAGATATAAAGGGATAAAGTGAAATACTGTTCTTTTTAACGCAGTAGCATTTACTGGGAGAGTTAGGTTTAAATTCAAATAAGATTCAGACTTTTTTGTTTCTCGGCTATTTTTGAAGATAAATTTCTTTTCAAGCCTTCCATGGTCTGGCTCCCCCTCTTCATGCTCTCTGTTCTAATTAGACCAGCCTGCTTGCTGTTCCCTGTACAACACATTCCATCTTGCTCAGGTGCTACCTCCTACTCCTGGCCTTTCCTGATTTTCCCCCTCGAGCTCCCACCTCAGTCATTAGTGCCCTCTTTGTTCTTGAAATTTCTTTGTATTTATCTATGTACATGTTGTGTTCTTCTAGTAGAATATTTGTTCCTTGATGGCAGAACATTGTATCATTAGTGCCTTCCACTAGCAGACATTTAGTAAATTTTTTTTTAATTGCAGTTGAAAATTTACCGATAAGAAAGAAGAGAAAAATCCTTGAATTAAGTAGTAGGATTTTGCTTTGGTCATTTCAATATGTTGAGATTTGACTTTTGTTAATTTAGTTTAGTTTAGTTTCGAAAGATTAAGATTATTTAAAGAGTAAGACCATCTTTTAGATGTTTTCTTCTTCCAACGTCTTTGTTCCTCTTTTTCTCAGGATGGAGGCAACAGAAAATGGAAAAGCAAGCCGGCAATGAGCAGTGACTTGAAGAACTAAACCTTAGTATATGGCATAAACTGTTTTATGCTAGATTTGATACTAGTACTTTTTCAGCAAGATTGTATAGTTACATTGCCTGGACTGGTTTTTACAATTTTATAAATTTCATCTAATTTGATCTTTTTATACAAGATGTAGAACTGGCACATGGTAACTGAAGGATTCACAGATGGGATTTGTCCTACAAATCATAAATGCATTTTAAAGTAAAGAGCATTTCTTCTGGAAATGTTAAAGATGGTCTTGTATCTTTTTGCCAAATAAAATTGTTAAAATATCTTTAAAATAAAATATTGGAGAATTTTTAAAATTTAAAAATATTGCTATACTTATTTAGCCAAAGCTGGTTTTAGAATTTTTTTTAGAAATGTTTTGAAATATTCTAAGATTATGAGAGTTAATAGATAGCCATGATTTTAATCTGGCTTGTTAAGCTTTGAGCATTCAGCAGACTACTGTGCAAACACTAATTACTATGCAAGGTACTGTGCTGTCTGTCAGCAATTGTGTTTTATATCTTTTGCCAACATGACAATTTTTTGTCTTATGTTTGATGTTTTCAGGGAAATCTGTTTTAAAACAAAGCTTTTCTCATTTGCTCTTATTTTTTAAATTGTTCTGGAAAATAGTATTTAGTAATGTTGGCTAGTTTTTTGAAATCAGTACTGAGAATGCCACTGTGTCTCCTGTCATTGATTAGAAGATGTCTTTTTTTTTTTAAAGGCTGTGATATAAACGTTCTAGGCCGGAATCTGAGCAAATCTCAAAGCTTTGACAAGTGCTGTGAATGTTAGTGCTGTACGGTTAGGGAGTTCCCCACTGCTCTAGATTTTCTTGGGCTTCTTGTTCTCTTAAAGATTATTCAGCTGGAAGATGAATATTGACAAATAATAGTTTTAGGGCTGCCAGTGAAAAGAGGCAGTTTCTCTAAGTCTAGATTACCAATCCAATTTTAATTGTCATATCTTGTTTTGTTTTTTTGGTGAGACAGGGTTAAGTGACTTACCCAAGGTTACACAGCTTGGGTCAAATGTCTGAGGCTGGATTTGAACTCAGGTCCTCCTGACTTCAAGGCTGGAGCTCTATCTACTGTGCCACCTCGCTGCCCTTGTTATGTCTTTAAAGAAAAAGGAAAACATTCTTTACTTGAACTTTACCCATGCTGTGAAACTTGTCTGTTCTCTGCCTTTCAATACAAAGGCAATCCATGCATAGAGCCATAGGCTTTGGTGTTTCCATGAAAATATGGTCGATGTAGATAACTTTCTAAATTTAAAAGTAGCCAGGTTTTATTTTCCGCCACCATGCCAGAGTAGCTTCTGAGTATGTACTTCTGCTTTATTCTATGATTGCACTAACTAGAAGTCCCTATGTAAAATTCTTAATTGAAGCTTTTATGTTTTCTTAATTGTGATGAAATCTGGGGCAACTAGGTGGCTCAGTGGATAGAGCACCGGCCCTGAAGTCAGGAGTACCTGAGTTCAAATCCGGCCTCAGACACATAACACTTACTAGCTGTGTGACCCTGGGCAAGTCACTTAACCCCATTGCCTAGTTAAAAAAAAATTGTGATGAAATCTAGATGTTCATTGATCTCAGTGTTATCACAGAAGAGTTGAACTGATATATAAGTACACATACATATACATATGTGTACGTCAGAAATACGACAGCGTACTTCAGAAATAGCTAGGACATGTGAACATAAGTCTTAGTGTCTCCAAAACATAGCCAGTATTCCAACAGCCTATTCTAAAAGAAGGAAAACTAATGTTGGAGAACTCATTAATTGAATAAGTAAATTTATGGATTTTTAAAAACTTTACATCTGCCTTCAGAAATTACACTAAGTGCTACAGAGATATTTTAAAAATAAGTTTATGGATGACTTGAACCCTTGAAGATAGCACTGCATTTGTTCTTCTGATTGTTGCTGTTACCTCACTTCAGCAATGTGCATCACCTTCATTTTCCCTCAAGTATGCTTTATAAGGCACCACTGAATTGTGTTAGTGCTATTTCTAGCACATTTGGAGTTAAAGTAATAAGTATAATTAGAGAACAAGAGCTTTTTACAAAAAATTTGTAGGCAGATCCTGTGAAATGAGAGTAAATCAAACAGTTTGCCTGACAAGCAACTAAGTGGTGCAGGGGGTAAAGCCATGGACTTGTAAATCAGAAAGACTTGAATTTAAACATGGCCTCAGATACTTCCTAGCTGTATGACTCTGGGCAAGTCACTTAACCTTGTCTGTCTCTGTTTCTTCATCTGTAAAGTGAGGATGATAATAGTACCAATCTCAGGGTTGTGAGAATCGAATGAGATAATATTTGTAAAGTGCTTGGTACAGGTCCTAGCAAATAGACATTTAATAAATGATTATTACAATACTTGTTGCTACATGTTTATAAATGCTATAAAGATGGGGCAGAAAATCCCATGGGTGTGAGTAATTGACAATGTTAGCGTCAGCGAAAAGACTACTCTTTCCTCAGGTAGAGCGGTTAGAAAAAAGCATATGCTTCCTTATACAACCTAGGAAGTTAAGATTTATTGTAAACTAAGCAATTGTCTAAATAAAGATGATTTTAGGGGGAAATGTAATCTCCCATTGTCTGGACAAAAGTGTAGATATATTTACGTCTCTTCTGGACTCAGTCTTCAGCCCCTGAACTTTATGATGTCTGTTTTGGCTACACAGAAGTCTCTCTGACTTCCTGATTCTTTTTCATGTTCTGGATCTTTGATAAGTGACTCACATAAGGGAATATTGCTTTAGTTAGTCTGGCTCTAGATACCATGGAACAGAAATATGAATTCAAGCATTTTCTAACTATTAAATTTATGACAACAGACAAAGCTCTGTTGGTACGTGTGTGTGTGTGCATGGAAGATACAAGGATACGTGTTTGTGCTCAGAAGCTTTGCTGGCCACCCACAGCCCCAGTTGTCCATTCTGGCCCCTTGAGATAAAGTAGCACCAAGAAGTCAGGCCTCCTCAGAACTGATGGCTCGTTCAGAGTGGCCACATAGATCAGGACTAGTACTCTTTTACACTCAAGAGGAAAGCGAGTGTAACCCCTTTAAGAAGGCGCCCATCAAGAGTATACCAAGAATCGTCTTCCTCCTGAAGCTCACTAGAACCACATGGCCGCAAGGAAGGACTGTCTGCCCCTGCAGCTTCTCCCTCTGTTTGGATGGCTCCTCCCTAAGGAGGACAGCCCAGTCATCCCTTCCAGGACTTTCCACCGTGCTCCCTCCCCAGGTACAGATTCTTTTGTCTTCCCTCCCTCTGCAGGCCCCTGCTTTTCAGTTCCCTTTTATGTATTGTAGGTGGGGTAGTGTATAGAATGCTGGATTGGGCCATGAAGACCTGGGTTCAGATGCAGCCTCAGACACTTTTACTAGCTGTGTGACCCTGGGCAAGTCATTTAAACCTGTTTGCCTCAGTTTTCCTCATCTGTAAAATGCGAATAATAATATACCTACCTCCCAGTATCGTTGTAAGGCTCAAATGAGATAACAGTTAATTGTAAAGCACTTAACACAGTGTCTAGCACATAGTAGGAAATATATAAATGTTAGCTATTTTTTTATCATTGGGCAACTAGGTGATGCAATGGATACAGTGCCAAGCCTGGAGTCAGGACTCTTCCCAAGTTCAAATCCAGCCTCAGACACTTACTAGCTATATGACCCTGGGCAAGTCACTTAACCCTGTTTGCCTCAGTTTCCTCATCTGTAAAATTAGCTGGAGAAGGAAATGGTAATATCTGTTACCTTCCACGAAATTCTGAAATGAGGTCACCAAGAGTGGGATGCAACTGAAAAATGACTCAACAACAAAATGATTATTGTCAATAATAATAGAAGAGTAGTAACTTTTTTTATATTTGTTGTGCAAGGATTTAGGTACTTAAGGAACATTGTTTCACTCAGCCTTTTTGTGAATCTGTTTTGCCTAAGGGTTGCACATTAATTCTTAGTCTAGCTAAGATTGTGATTGTCCATCTCAGCCCTGGGAACCATTCACACAATTGTTTAGATTAGGTAAGTAGTGACTTCTCATAATGTCACAATGTTTATGAAGTACACACAAACAGGTTTCTGGCCCCCACTTTCCCTGCATCTGATGACACTTGTCTCCATCCACTATATATTGGCAAATATCATGGGCAAATATGTAAATTAAGAACCCTTCCCTTGTATACATACATTGAATAGGCAGGCCAATAATTGACAATCCTATTGCTTCCATGTACTAGCTCTATAAATTTCAAGTCTCCAGCCTTCCATTAGTAATTCATAGGAGGGGAGTGTGAGGGAGAAGAATTCAACTATGTCTGATGAACAGGAATGATCAGATGGATTGGGGGCTGGTCGAAAAATGCCAGCCTTGTGGCTGCTGGCCAGAACCCTAATCCTTTCTTCAAGAAGTTGAGGCACATTAAGGTTGGATGCTTGCTTAAGGACATAGTCATGATGGGGCACAGTTCATGAAATAATTAACATTTACTGGTAAATTTCAAATTTCATCCCATGCTTTATACCCTCCCCTCTCATGAGAAACAATACAATTCATTTACTCTGAATAGATTTATCCTTAGTGTTGGTAGGGGACCAGGTTAAGGTGACACTGTCATTGTGAGATCAGGGAGATGATACAGAAGACAAGGGGGGCAAGTGGTTTCCGATAATTTGGGTAGCTGAGATTGAATAAAAGGAATATATGAAAAGGAGAGGGCAGTTAGGTGGCATGGTGGATCACTGGTGACCTGCAAGAATAAATTCAGTGAGAACTTCAGGAAGAAATTCTGCTGAAAGGAAATGGAAGAAATTCAGTTGCAAGAGGTGGAAGAGAGAATGGGTAGTGAAGTGCATAGGATGGAGGCGTCCTATATTGTTCTTCAATTGTTTTCAGTCGTGTCCAACTCTTCTTCGTGATTCCTTTCCGGGGCTTGCTTAGTAGAGACACTGGAGGGGTTTGCTATTTCCTTTTCCAGCTCATTTTGTCGATGAGGAAATTGAGGCAAACTGTTAAATTCCCCTCCTGATAAGTAATAATAACAATAAATAGCATTTATGTAGTACCTGCTATGTATTAGGCTGTGCTGAGCACTTTATAAATATTATCTCATTTGATCTTCACAGCAACCCTGGGAAGTAGGTACTATTTAATATTGTCCCCATTTTACAGTTGAAGAAACTGAAGCAAACAGAATGCAAGTGACTTGTCCAAAGTTAGTGTCCGAGGGCACATTTGAACTCAAGTCTTCCTCCCCGTTGCACC